AAAACCTACTCATAAACCCACCAAGAGAGCTTAAAATGAAAGTCTGAAAGTGCAAGTAGGTATTTGTTTAAATACCTGGTAAAAGAAAATGTTCAATTCAATAGCTGTGACAAACACAAATTTAAGGGGTGTGGGCATAAAAGAGAAACAGAAAGTCTACCTCTCAGAGTAAAAGGGGTAAATATTTAGTCAACTCTCAGGTGGTATTTCAGTAAATAGATATTTCAATGGAAAATTTCTAACCTGAGAGCAAATAATTTAAGATGGGTTTAAAATTAGAATTAAAGCTCTCGTCTCCATGTCCCTGCCCAGCCTGTAACCCAGCCTCTGAGTCCTGGTGGCAGTGGGCATTTTTCTTCCTCATTTCCCCAACCCCAACTACAGACTATAATTTTCTTTCCAGCAGGAAACTGATATATACTAATGATGACAGCTGGATTCAGAAGAGGAAAAAGAATACAGGGGACAGAGAGTCCTTGTGGTTTTAAATCACTTTAAAACTCAAAACAAAACCCCCAGATTGGAATTTTTAAAACCTAGTTAATGGCTAAGGAAACCTCAAATGATTGGGAAGTACTAAGATAAAAGTTTGAATCACACAAAACACATCATTATCTTAAGCTTTTCTAATCATCTTCTCTGCCTTTCTCCTTCACTGTTTTTCTCCTTGTTTATGCCCCCAGCCCTTCAATGTGGTTCTAAGACATTTTAGAGGTAGGATCAGCCTTCCAAGGTCACTTACAGAATAGCATTTGAGAGGGGATGGGCAGATCCTCCTCTACCCAAAAAAGTCTCCCTGAAATTATTACTTCATTTTGTTTGGAATAATTAATCCCTTTCAAGGTTCACATTTACATACACTTAATGTTTAAATACATGTTTATATACACATGAATGAAACAGAATTATGTTGTATAAAATTAGTAAAATAGAAAATAAGAGGAGGAACCCTCCCCTGTAATCCCTCCATTTTGAAACAACTATTTTTAGCACTGTGCTGCCTTTAACTCTAGTCTGACCCTCCATTCCCCACCCCTGCTTCCCAAACCCTCACTACTGGTTATCACGACAACTGGGCGAATCTCCCTGATATTCAGTGAATGAATTTTCAGTTACATTCTTTCTGAGTGACAATAAGAACTTAGTTCCATAAGGGTCCTAAGAATCCTGTAAGGATCAGGGCAGAGAAAGAAATGTCACCTTGTCTTAAAAATCACCTGATCCCACTCTCTTTCTTACATCCTCCAATAATCCCCTTTGTTTACAGGGTCACGTCCAAGCTCCTTAGACTTTGGCATATGAGGCCTCCCACGACTGAGCTTCTGCCTCCCCAGCCTTACTTCTAGTCACAACTGCCTGGCCTTAAACCCAACACTCCAGGCACCCTGTCCGGTCTGAGCTCTTTGAAGGCTGTGCTGATCTGTGCCCCCGTGGTGCTGGCCATGCTCCTCCCTTTGTAATACCCACCTCCACCTTGCCCATCTGGTGAATCCCTAACCATCGCCAAACCTCTGCCCAACCACCTCCTCCTCTAGGAAGCCTTTTCTGTCCTCCCAAGTAGAAATGACCTTTCTTTCTCTAGTGCCTCACACACACTTCCTTTATATATAACATCTGAAATCCCTTATTACACCTACTAATAAGCCCAAGAGATATTCATCTCTATCTCCAGATAAAGGTGCTCAATATATGTTTGATGCTAGCAGGTCTGATAAATGAAAAACTAAATGAACAAGAAAAAAGATGATCTTTTCCTGGATCAGTTAGAGGGGCAGGGGCATCCCTAATCAAGTGGATTCCTGACATCCTATGCCAGGTATGTTACATGTCAATGTCTTCCTAGGAAGGCAGACATTTCTTCTTTCCTGAAGATGTTTAAGAATATGAGGAGAAGTGTGAAGCTGATGGGTTGAACACACTTCTGCCAGGCTGCATGGGACTGGATTAGATGCATGGTTTCCAGCTAATGATAATGATAATAATAACAGATAATATTTATTGAACACTTATTCTGTGCCATGCAGAGCACACTCTTTACATAGGGCTTTACACGTGTAAGTTGACTCTAAGATGTAGATATTATTATTATCCCCATTTACGATTGAGAAACAGTGTCTCAAAGAGGTTAAATAACTTGCTTAAGATCGTGAAGTTAGTAAATGGCAGATCTGGGATTCAAACCCAGGGATTTGGCTTTAGAGTCTATGTGGTATACTTCCTACTTTGAGCTTTATGAGCTAATAATGGAGGTAGATGTGTATTTACAAATATATACACATGATATAAACCTCTCATTTCAATTCAGAAAATGAATTCACATTTGATTGATACATGAGTTTAAATAAGACTTCTATCTTGATAATAACTGTTACTATTCTAAAAACTGATAAAAACTGTATTTCACTCAATTAGTTAATAATAAACCCATTAAACAAGGGCTTGCTATGTGCTTAGCTGGGTGACAGAGAATCTAAGACATGATCCGTTCTTTCAAAAGAGCTTACAAGGTAAGACTATAATATCAAGACATTTTGAAAACATATTGAAATCTGTACATTCAAATAAGTGATCACCTCATTTGGTGATATAATTATCTATTGCTCAAACTGCCTTTGGAAACAATTTATGAAACATGCAAGAATAGATTTCACTACTTTAAGCTCACCGTTTATTTTTATCCCAAACAGTGCTATCCATTTTATAATTTTATAATTACCATTGTATTTGATATTTGGTTAGTTCCAAAAATCTACTCTATCCTCAAAGGAAGAAAATTTGCTACCATTATTTGTATGGATGTATTACATGAACATACACATTCATAAAGATAGATAGATGGCATTTCGCTATGTTACCCAGGCTAGTCTTGAACTCCTGGGTTCAAGTGATCCTCCTGTCTCAGTCTCTCAAGTAACTGGGATTGTATGAACACGTCAGCACACCTGGCTGACATATGCAATTTAAGATGTAAATAGCCACATTTTTTCATCATCAGTAATGTTACTTTAACGTACCTTTTTGGTTTTTATGACAAGTCATTAACAATTTTTCAGATCTCTCCATTTGACATAATTAAATTCACATATTTCAATGACAGTTTTACTTTTCTAAAAATTTTTTCTTTCTCCCCTCCCATTCTAGTAGCCACATTTTAAAAGTAAAGGAAACAGGTGAAATTAATTTTAATAATATATTTTAAAATTTAATCCAATATGTTAAAATATCATTCCAACAGGTCTTACTCCACAAAGTAATGACTTTAAGAGGAGTAATACGTGGATGCAAGTGAAATAATACTCAGTAATGAAAGACAGCTTGTGATCACATTTAATTAGGGTATAAACGCTAAATAATGTTAAGAGCTCGGAGGAAAGGATGGTTCAAAAAAGCCAAGTCATCTTCATGGAGCCCAGCTTATCAGTAAAGGATGGATGGCTGGGGAAGAGAGAAGAAGGTATTTTACAACATTTAAGGGTTAACCCTTCTAGATAAGGAATAATGGTACTGAATAAGCCAAAACAACAACAACAACAACAACAACAAAAAACCTCAATTCAAATAAACTGATGGTTATAGTCAGCCACAAAACTGTCAGAATCCAAATGAATGGATTTGTAAGCAGTGAGCAACTCTGTTATGGCCAAGACCCCTTAGAGACATAAGAAGAGAGTCACTATAAAGCTATATGGAATTTGGAACTGAAAGAAATGGTAGAAATCTAAAACAATTTACTTGGTAACATCTGATTCATAATCTCTTTATAATCTCTGGATCCCAGTTAACTGCAGTGTAAACTAAAGTGGATACAATTCTGAGGTCTCTTATAGCTAGGGTGACCTGTAATTTACTGTGCAAACCTGGACACTTTGAAGAGTAAAAGGGGCACTATTAATGCTGGAACAAGAGGCATAAACTGGGACCATTTTACAGCTATAAAACTATATGATCCTGTACTACCAAGCAGATACAACAGCTACCCCTATCCAGGGACGTGGAGCTGATGAAAGTCTACCGTGTTCTTATTACCTCTGCATGGCCACAGGGGTTTTGTGGGCTAACATACATCGATCCGGCGAGGCGGTTTCGCACTCCCCCACCCCCCATATCCCCCCACAAAGCATTTTAAATTGGTTTGAATTTGGGAACAGGGTTCCATATGGACAGAGCTGGACTTTGACAGCCTGAATGTATTTACTGAAGACAACAAATCATTGACAGACTAAATGTAACAGAGGAAAGCCCTGGCCTGCTTGTACTCAGAATCTGACTTTGTAATTGTAGCCCCCTTTAGACAGGCCTAATCAATTAGAAGAGGCTGATTTTAACCAGTTGCAGGCTCATTACCCTGCATTCCAGCTTGTGTTGATGAAAATCAGTTTCAGTCTGTGGCCTGGAATTCATGTACAGCACTTCCTGCGGCCTCTTATATAAACACATCAAAAAAATTTTATTTGGAGTTGCCCTTCTTCCTTTAGGGGGGAAAAAAACCACTTTGTGGATCATTATTAAAATACAATTGTATGTGAATCTGGGGTTCATATCCAGAAACATATATGACCAAGAAACATGTATAAAGTCAGAGCCTGAGGTAGCAACTCATACACGCGTTGGTGTAGGGGTAGTTTCGAGAATAGAGTCTCAAAGATCCAGGGTCCAGAATCAAATGAGCCCAGCTCAGTTATCTCCACAGAATGGAACAGAATGAACTCTCAGTTATTGCAAATGATAACCTTTCAAAGAAAATGGGTATCTGAGTAGAATTCACACTCTACCCTAAATGACCAACTAGAAAATAAACGGCAAACTTCCAAGTAAACAAGGACAAGTTTCCCTGCGAAGCTTCTATGAGAGCACCATATGACACTGTTTAATTTTGATGTGCAATTAGTCTTAAGAAGTAGAAGGTGGGGGAGTGTGTGGTAGAGCCGCTCAAAACCATACCTACATTTCAAGAACCTGTAACCATTCCAAAATATGATACAACTAACTATGAATCATACCTGGCTGGTTGTCCTTTGTGGGTTTGTTGAGGCAGCGAGTCAACAGGAAGAGAATATCAATATATACAGCTCTGGTCACCAAACATGGATTTTGCCTAGAAAGGTAAGGAACAGAAAATAAATTGATATTTTTTCTCCCTGAGGTCTGGGTCACAGGAAGGAGAAAATGGGTATTTTCTACCAGGCATGTCTTGAGGCTTAGGCAGTTATGGCGATGCTAAAGAAAAGACGGTATGATCACCCATGGCAAGAAAATCAGTAACTCAAGTGAGAAAATGAAATCCTTGAGCTATGGTGGAAGCTGGGGACATGTGTGGACAGAACAGACAAAACTCTATGCTCTGGCTCCAAATAAAATAAACTGAAAACAAACAAAAACCAAGATCCTATCCCTGTTAGTTGAAAACAAGAAAGGTAGGGGGAAATGATATTGTTATTCTCCTTTTAAGTGGAGAAATTTGGGGGGTGGGACTCATTGGTCATGAAAGTTACTGATTTAGCAATTTGGAGGAGGAGAATTACACTCACATATTAAAAACCATATCTATGGACTTGAAATAACAAGCTGAATAACAAACGTGTGAAATTACCAAATACTGGATGGAGCTAACATCTTTCTCCCAATAAATGGAATTTTTTCTTCTTTCAATGAATGGAGTGGCTCATTTTACTCTTTGAGCCACATGGTAGAAACAGTAAGTGGGTCCAGATTTGGGGGGGTCTAGATACAAAAGAAAGAACAAGGACTTTTTGTTCTAATTAAAAAAAAATCCCCCCTCCGAAATGGGGTCTTGCTATATTGCCCAGGCTGGTCTCACACTCCTGGGCTCGAGCAATGCTCCCACCTGGGCCTCCCAGAGTGCTGGGATTACAGGCATGAGCCACTGCATCCTGCTAGGGACTTTGCTTGGATAATAATGCTAAAAGGCTCTGACTTTGAGTCTCAGCTCATACTGACCATGAAAAGAGCCAAAACCTCTTTGGTGTACTAATAATCCAGCACAAGTAGTAAAAACAGCAGGGACCGGGGTTTGAGTGTGGGATTTGCTTCTTATCTCTGTGACCTGAATCAGATTCCTGACCTGTAAAATGGGAATTATATTATCACCTTTATCATCTCCGCTATGGTTTGAATGTCCCTGCTAAAACTCGCATTGAAATTTAATTGCCATTGTTGAGAGGTGGAGTCTTTAAGAGGTGATTAGGTCATGAGGAAATGGATTAATGCGGTTATCTTAGGAGTGGGTTAGTTATAAAAGCAAGTGGCCTGATTTCCTCTCTCTGCCTTGTGTACTGGATTCTGCCTTCCACTCTTCCACCACGGGATGGCCCTCACAAGATGCCACTGCCATGCTCTTGGACTTTCCAGCCTCCAGAACTGTGGGCTGAATAAATGTCTTTTGTTTATAATTACCCAGTCTGTGGTATTCTGTCATAACAAAAGAAAATGGCCTAAGACAGCCTCCCTGTGAGTCGCTGTGAGCATTCAATGTGGCACAGTGAACTTAAAATGCCCACCTCAATGCTTGGCCATGGTAGATGATCCAGATGTGTTCATTGCTGCCTTCTCCTCTACTTCCAACATAAGAGTAAAGGATGACACTGGAACCGGGACAAGTGTTCCAGCTAGTGGATTTCCATTTGGCTTGATCCCTAAACCCATCTTCTCATTCCTTGTAAATTAACAGTTTTTCCACTCCTCTAAAGTTTATTCCCACCTCTATCCTGAACCAGACATATCCTGGAGCTGGCATATGCTCATTTAAAGTATGAATCAGACACCTTTGATTTAAAGCAGAACTGTCTCGTATCAAGGTCCTTTGTTGCTGCCTCTCCCCATGGCAGTCCCACTGTCTTGCTTCACTTATAGTATCTACTTGCTCTCTGACTCCTACCTATGGAAACCACTAGTTTACACGTATACCTTGAGTCTGGCCTAATTTCAAATCTATGCCTAGCTATTAAAATTAGTTTCCAAAAAATAGGTAACACATACACACAGTATAAAAATAATTCAGACAGTACAAAAGGACACGCAGTGAAAATGAAGTCAGTCCCCTTTCCACAATCCTACCTGCCTGCCACATTCTATTACTCTGAGGCAACCGCTACTACTACTTTCTAGTATATCCTTCCAGGTACATTCTATTCATTTATAAGCATCTATCTATGGCTACCACTTGTTTATTTTTACATAAATGGTGGTTTCCTATCTACTAAGTTCTGAGCATTACTCCTTTTCACTAATATATTTTGGATAACATTCTATTAAGGACATAGAGATTTGCCTCATTTTCTTAACGGCTATAAACTACTCCCTTTCATGGATGTATCTGTACCCTACTGACAGAATTCAGATTAAGATACTTTGCTACAGAAAACAATGCCGTAATAAATATATTTGTACATCAGTTCTGTGCATATGGATATATACTCAGAGGCAAAATTCCTAGAAGCTGAATTACTTTGTCAAGGTATTTGCACAGTTATTAATAAATTTTTCACTTATCTTGACGAGATGCTCTCCAAAGAGACAGCACCAATTTACATTTTTACTGACAGTGTTTAAGAATTCCTGTTACCCCATGACCTGGCCAATACAGTGCATTATAACTTTTTGACTTTGCCAAGATGAAAAGGGAAAAATATCTCATTGAATTTTCTTTTCTGTGAACTGTGTTCAAATCCCCTGTTGCTGGTCTTTTCCATTCTGATTTGTAGGAGCCCTTTGTATAGTAAGGAAATCTGCCCCTTGTCTGCCACATGGGTTGCAAATGTTTTTGCAGTTTGCCATTTGTCTTTTAACTTTCTTAACAAATTTTTGCAATTCAGAAATGTTTAATTTTATGCAGTGAAATATATTAATATTTTTATGTCTTCTCGGTTTTATATCATTGCTTACAAAGTCCAACTCTTCTCTAAGATTTTTAAAACTCCCATATTTTCTTCTAGTATTCTACAGTTCCATTTTTCTAAAGGAAAGAATTTGGACAGACTAAATTGACAAGGAAGGGCATTTTGACAGGAGGCAATAGATGTGGGCAGGAATTTGTTTGGCTTGTCCAGGGACCAGGGGAGAGCCAGCTTGAAAAGATTAGAGAATGGGTTGAGAAGGTAGGAACATGAGCAAGGTAGGCCAGGCTTTCAAGTGATGGGAAACTTCATACTACCTGGGTTGTTCTTTAGTGTAATAATTTACTGCCTGCCTGTTCCCATGTGGCCTCACAGAGTCATAGCTTCTTGCCCCAAATGTTTTTTTGGTTTTCTGTGGAGTCACAAGAATCACAAAGAGAAACTGCTGGGAAACTGGTTTGGCTTTCAAGTCTGATGAGGAGCCTGGTTTCCATGAGATTTTTAGGTAAGTTAATATATTTTTTAAAATTTCTAAATGAATAGAGGAAAGGTTGGCACTCTTCAGCATCCCCTGCCAGGCTGAAGCGTCCTGCATTTTCCTTAGACCCGGCACAGGTTGGTGACCTTGCTGGCCTCCTGGGACACTTCAGGAACCACTCTGATTGCTCCCACAACCATGAGGCTTGGGGCCAAACCTGATGTAGCCACCGAGATCATGGGAAGCTCTCTCAAATGCTGCTGCTTTTGGATTCCAGGAAACAGAGAGGATTTGGGGCCACAAAGGAGTACATCCATGGCTTCTCCTTTGAGATGACTCTGAGAGAAATTCTGGCTTGCAGCCTCCTGTTCATGGCTCCACCCTTGAGGACAGCCAAAGCCACATAACATCCCCGTCTGGAGTCACAGAGTTGGGCTTCACTCTGAGCTGGCTTCTAAGTCAGGAAAATAATTTTTTTTCTTTCTTTTTCTCTTGGTATTACTTGGTGTTTGTTCTGACTTGGAAATGGTACACTGTGAGTTCAGGGTGAGCCAGAGGTTTGTTCTCAGTCTGTCAAGCCACTTTGATGCTGGGAATAAAATCCTAAGGAACAGCAAGCCAGCTGGACAGGAAACCAAGCCACAGGGTTTTGGTGGGCTTGGGGATTTTTTCTACCCTCAAATGGAAAAATCCTGGCATGGGGCACGGTATAATGAAGATTTATAGCATTAAAAAAAAAAATCAGAAGTGGTCAGGGTCTAACAGATGGGCTGAAAAGAAGCATAATAGTGGCTTTAGAAGGAGTAGAAGGAATCAGGTACCAGGGGGACTAAGTTTATATATATAAGATGAAATGAAGGTCTTGTTAAGAATTTTGCTTTCTTCTACTCTTTTTTTTTTTTTTTAATCATTTGTCCCTTGACAAATATCTACCGAGAACCTGATTAATATGATTTTGCCTTGGGAAATCTCTGAACTTCATTAAACCTCCTGCCCTTGCTCCTGGAAGGTGGGGGAAGCAGAAGGCAGGCAGAGAGAGCAGGGCTTCCCAGACACGTCCACAAAGGCCCCAGTGTCTAGAGGACAGCAGGAGCTCTTGGGAAGTCTGCAATAAATTATTCACTTCTCCTGTCCCTTCCGGAATCCCAGTGACTGTAGATCTTTTTAACTGAGGCCTATTCATTCAGAAAACATTTGTTAAAAGGCTACTGAGAGCCAGGAATAATGCCAGGGTTTGGAAATATGAAGATGAAATGATTCAGTGACATAGTCACTGCCCTCAAGGAACTTAGAGTCCTGAATAGTGTTTTTCAAACTGCAGGTTATGATTCATTTAGTTGGTTATGAAATCAACTAGGGGGTAGTGACCAGCAAAAGAGGGAGGAAGGAAGGAAGGAAGGGATGAAGGGAGGAAGAAATGAAGGGAGGAGGGGAATGAGGGGCAAAGAGGAGTGGGGGAAAGGAGCTAGAAAAGAGGGAGGGAGGAAGGAGGAAAATATAATCAGAGTGTAACAAAACAGTAAGAGGTGAGCATTGTTTCATTAAGGTTTTTGTTATATATAAGGTTTCTATGAAGTCCTCACTCAGCATGAATTTAGGAGACAGGGTTTTTCTTTGTCGCCCAGGCTGGAGTTCAGTGGCTCGATCATAACTCACTGCAGCCTCAAACTCCTGGCCTCAAGCGACCCTTCTGCCTCAGCCTCCCAAAGTGCTGGGATTACAAGTGTGAGCCACCGTGCCTGGTCAGCATGAATGTTTAATAAG